AGTTTTCTCTTATTCCCCATTTCCTCCACGGGAACCCTGGGTGAAGTTGTGTTCTGCACTAACGTAGGTGCCATCCGTTTCTTGTGAGTTCATTGATCTCCGGGTCTTTTGCCCTAAAGGGGGTGAAAGTCTCCTCCCCCTCTGTGGGAAGGTTTGCTCAATGAGAAAAAGCACCCAGACTCTATTTCCACACTTTCTAATCATTCAGAGGAGCAGGAGGTAGAGAAGTGGTGCCAATCCATAAGCCACAAGAGCCGAACAAGAGCAGAGAAGTAGAACTAAACTAAGTGATTGGGCAACAAAATGGCAAATGAAATTTAATGTGGATAAATGTAAAGTAATGCACCTTGGAAAAAATAACCCCAACTATACATACAATATGATGGGGGCTAATTTAGCTACAACAAATCAGGAAAAAGATCTTGGAGTCACCATGGATAGTTCTCTGAAGACGTCCGCGCACTGTGCAGCGGCGATCAAAAAAGCAAACAGGATGTTAGGAATCATTAAAACGGGGATAGAGAATAAGACACAGAATATCTTATTGTCCTTATATAAATCGATGGTACACCCACATCTTGAATACTGCATACAGATGTGGTCTCATCTCAAAAAAGATATACTGGCATTAGAAAAGGTTCAGAGAAGGGCAACTAAAATGATTAGGGGTTTGGAACGGGGCCCATATGAGGAGAGATTAAGGAGGCTGGGACTTTTCAGCTTGGAAAAGAAGAGACTAAGGGGGGATATGATAGAGGTCTATAAAATCACGAATGGTGTCGAGAAAGTGAATAAGGAAAAGTTATTTACTTATTCCCATAATACAAGAACTAGGGGTCACCAAATGAAATTATTAGGCAGCAGGTTTAAAACAAATACAAGGAAGTTCTTCTTCACACAGCGCCCAGTTAACCTGTGGAACTCCTTGCCTGAGGAGGCTGTGAAGGCTAGGACTATAACAGGGTTTAAAAGAGAACTGGATAAATTCATGGAGGTTAAGTCCATTAATGGCTATTAGCCAGGCTGGGTAAGGAATGGTGTCCCTAGCCTCTGTCAGAGGGTGGAGATGGATGGCAGGAGAGAGATCACTTGATCATTACCTGTTAGGTTCACTCCCTCTGGGGCACCTGGCATTGACCACTCTCGGTAGACAGGATACTGGGCTAGATGGACCTTTGGTCTGACCCAGTACGGCTGTTCTTATGTTCTTATGTTCTTAACTCAACATTCATGCAACCTGAGCTCAGAGTCTTACAAATTCCTTCCCCCATGGGCGACCATCACTTGCGGAGGATGGCCGTGCTTCTTGTCCAGCAAGGCAGCCAGACTGGGATTCATGGGGAAGCAATGGCCATCAATCGTTTCTCTCTTTGTCTCATGACACTTCAGATCCAAATGGGAAGGGGACAATCGCTCCCCACTGAAACATGACAACTTGTGGGACCGTAATCAATATCACTGAGCTAGGGAGTCGGGTTCTGTCACGGAGTGTGGGGGAGTCGGGGCCCTGCACCCCCCACTTCCTGCAATTCACTGGGAGTCTCAGCCAGCCGGTAACACAGAAGGTTTATTAGACAACAGGAACAGCCCAAAACAGAGTTTATAGGTACAGGAAACAGGACCCCTCAGTCAGATCCATCTTGGGAGGTAGCGAGCCCAGACCCCAGCTCTGGGCCTCCCTCCATTTCCCCAGCCAGCTCCAAACAGAAACCCCCTCCACCCCCTCTTCTAGCCTTTGTCTCTTTCCTAGGCAAGGAGACCACCTGATCTTTGTTCTCCAACACCTTCAGTTGGCACCTTGCAAAGGAGGGGCCCAGGCCATCATTTGCCGGGAGACAGGGTGTCGGGCATCACCCCTGCCTTCTAGGGCTCTGCAACAATCACACGCCCTTATCCCACTACCTAGATACTTAAGAAAGGCATAGGGGAAACTGAGGCACCCACACAGTATTCAGAGAAAATATTAAGAACATTCCCACTTCGTGACAGGTTCTAAATCCAAAGAGTTTACCTGGCCATAGGCCACCGTAGCATGGAACTTTGGACACCTGCTATTTCTACGGAAATTCGTGTCTAATCCTTGGCCTTGGATGTTGGTAACTGCATATTTCTCAGGAGCAGAATCCACCCAAAATCTCAGGAGTAATCATGAGGAACGGCTTCTCCAAACACGTCCAGTTTATTTATTTAATCTGATGGTACAGACCTAAATTAGGGACTCGACACAGGCCTGGATCACAGTCCCTATCCATTCAAAAATAGACTGAATCCAGCAGCTCTCTCACATTCAACACTCAATTCATTGTATACACAGTTGCAGCATTTACAAGGGGTAAGCGCCACAACACGGCTCGTTCCATTTCCTCCGTCTCTACCTAGCTAGGGATTACATGGTCTAAACGGCACCTGATTAAGAAGGTGACATGTTCAGGAGTAACCTTCTGTCTGGTCTGGGCCGCAACAGCTTTGGGAAGCAAATATGCGGGGGTCAGTGTGTTTTAAGCGAATGATCATTTCTCTCATATCCCGCCCCCGCCCATCAATCTGAGCTGATGCTGTCAAACAAAACTAATATCCCAATATTGGACCAATCAGGACAGAGAGGAAACCCCACCACACAAAGGGGCGTCAGACACTTTCAAATTTCCTATAAAATGAAATTCCAGAGCAGGTGACGTCTGATAACTCAAAATCAGAAGATTGTATTCTCCCCCGATGCAGTCAAACCTGCTTCACTCAGAGCCACTTCATTATTATTCAGCAGTTCTATTTACCAAAAAAAAAGTTTTAGCATCACGGTAATGGGGGGAAACAGCCAACGTTCCCACCTTGCAAAGAATCCTGGCTCGGCAGGAAAAAAACTCAGAAATACTTTTCCGATGGACAGAAACCAGGATTAAAACAGGGACTGATCACTCCCTCCAGCGCTTTCACCTCCAGCCTCAGTGAGTTTGATTTAGGATCAGAGCGAGAAAACTCACCCGCAGAGGGCTGCGAACATTGTATCATGCGGCACTGCAGGAGCTGGAGGGGTAGAAAGTGGGGATTATAAATTCTGTTGCGGCTCACGCGGACGGCTGGGCTGGGATTGGAGAAGTGGGATCTTGATGGCGATGCGGAAGGAGGGAATCCCTGATCTCCCTCGGGAAAGAGAGGCTGAAATGACGTTTCTCCCCTGTGCTGCTTTCTCCTACCACTCTGATCAACACGCGAACAACTGGGAATGAGACGTTCTGTCCCATAGGTGCTGACTCCGTGGGTGCTCTGGGGCTGGAGCACCCATGGAAAAAGAACTGGCAGCCTGCCCCGATTAGCGCCTCCCCCACTCCCAGCGCCTCCCGCCACAGAGTGGACAGAAAGGATCCCAGCCCCAGCACCCGGGGGGCCCCCAGTGCTGTGTGGCCCCAGCCACCCCAAGTCCTGGCCACAGGCCACCCCAGCCTTCGCCCTGGCCCCAACCCCAACCCCAGCCCCAGCCCACTTCCCGGAAGAGGAGCAGCCAGCCTGCCTGGCCTGTGGCCAAGGGGGAAGGGCAAGCAGGAGGGGGGCTTCTGGGTCGACCGTGGGAGGGGCCACGCTGGGCTGATTTGGGGAGTGTCACGGACTCACAGCTCGGGCCCACTCTTGGCCCTGTGCGGTCCGTGGGGGGGGGGCCCCTTTCAGTGTGACAGCCCTTCTTGGGGGTCCACTCTCTCTCGGGGTCAGGCCCCTCCACCTCCTGGAGCCGCACCTCTCTGAGCTGTGAGCTGTGACACTTAGCACGTCTGTCTCTGCCACGGGCCCCCTCAGAGAGTCCCCTCGCTCCGGACCCCCCCAGGGCCTCCACCCCCCGAAGGGGACGATGCCCCCCCCCACCGCCCTGTTCTCTAGACCGGAGCGACTCTCAGCCAGCGTAACACAGGAGGGTTTATTGAGCGACTGAACCCAGCACAGGAAACTCTCCGGCCTCAGGCCTGGCCTCCCTCAGCCCAGCACATCCCAGTCTCCCTGCATCCAGGGGGGCTCTGCCTGCCCTCCCCCCCCCCAGCCCCGAGCCCCCCTGCTTCCCAGCTGGGCATCTGAGATCACCGGCCCCAAGCCCGGCCTCTGTCCATTGTCTTCTCTCCAGGGAAACAGGGTCCTCTGGGCCTCCTCTCCTCTCCGTCCCCCTCTGGCTGGAACCGGCTGGTTAGGTCACCGGGGTCCTCTCTTCACAGCCCATTGTCCTCCCACTGGCCAGAACCGGCTGTGACTCCTGAGCTGGGTCTCCGGTGAGGGTCGTCAGGTCACCAGTCGCTGGGGTATCCGTCCTCCAGGCCATTGGCTGGGGCCCCAAGTTCCCTCTCCGGTCCTGTGTAACCACAAACTCCCTCTCCCCTCCCCTCGTTAAACCAGTAACACTCAGGGACACTGAGTCCCACCCCCTCCGCATGCAAACCATTGGAAAACCATGAAAAGATAAGAAAATCCCCCACTTCGTCACAGGGAGGCCCGGCCTGCCCCAGCCTACGATACGCCCCGCCCATGCTCGTGGGCGACAAGGCCTGACCTTCGACCAAAGCGTTTCCCGCACTCAGAGCATGTGTTGGGTCTCTCACCTGTGGGGAGTCTCTGATGTGTGATAAGGCGAGAGCTCTCTGTAGGGTAGTGGCTCTCAACCTTTGCCGACAACTGTGCCCCTTTCCGGAGTCTGATTTGTCTTGCGTCCCCCAAAGTTTCACCTCACCTGCTTACGAAACCAGACCTACAAATACAAAAGTGTCCCGGCCACCCTAGTACTAAAAATGTGCTGATGTTCTCATTTTTACCATAGCATTATAAAATAAATCTATTGGAATAGAAATATTGTACTTGCATTTCAATGTATAGATTATAGAGCAGTATAAACAAGTCATTGTCCGTAGGAAATTTGAGTTTGTACTGATTTCGCTCGTGCTTTTTATGTAGCCTGTTGTAAAGCTAGGCAGTAACCGAGATGAGTTGATGTGCCCCCGGAAGACCTCTGCGTATCCTCAGGGGGACGTGTACTCCTGGTTGAGACCCACTGGTGTAGAGTATCTCTCCAGTGTGGATTCTCAGATGCCTAAGAAGGGCACAGCTCTGACTGAAGATTTTCCCACACTCGGAGCACGTATAGGGTCTCTCACCCGTGGGGATTCTCTGGTGTCTAAGGAAGGATGCGCCATGACTGAAGTTTTTCCCGCACTCAGAGCACATTCAGCGTGTCTCCCCCATGTGGATTCTCTGATGAGAGATAAGGTTTGAGCTCTGCCGGAAGCGTTTCCCACACTCGGAGCAGGCGTAGGGCGTCTCTCCGGTGTGAATCCTCCGGTGCGTGATGAGGCTGGATCTCTGCCGGAAGCGTTTCCCGCACTCGGCGCAGGCATAGGGCGTCTCCCCGGTGTGGATTCTCCGGTGGGTGGTCAGAGTGGAGCTGTGGCTGAAGCTTTTCCCACACTCGGAGCACGTGTAGGGCGTCTCGCCGGTGTGAATCCTCCAATGGGTGCGGAGGCCGGAGCTTCGCCGGAAGCTTTTCCCGCACTCGGAGCATTTGTAGGGCGTCTCTCCCGTGTGGATTCTCCAGTGCGTGGTCAAGGCAGAGCTGTGGCTGAAACGTTTCCCGCACTCAGAGCACGGGTAAGGGGTCTCCCCGGTGTGGATCCTCAGATGTCTAATAAGGGCAGAGCTGTGGCTAAAACGTTTCCCGCACTCGGAGCAGGCGTAGGGGGCCTCTTCCATGTGGATTCTCCAATGCGTGATGAGGGTCGAGCTCTGCCGGAAGCTTTTCCCGCACTCAGAGCACGTGTAAGGCATCTCCCCCGTGTGGACTCGCCGATGTCTAATAAAGGTGGATCTCTGGCTGAAGCATTTCCCGCACTCGGCGCAGGCATAGGGCGTCTCCCCGGTGTGGATCCTCCGATGGGTGTTCAGGTTTGAGCTCTGCCGGAAGCTTTTCCCGCACTCGGCGCAGGTGTAGGGCGTGTCTCCGGTGTGGATCCTCCGGTGTGCGATGAGGGTCGAGCTCAGACTGAAGCGTTTCCCGCACTCGGCGCAGCTGTAGGGCGTCTCTCCCGTGTGGATCCTCCGGTGCGTGACCAGGGCAGAGCACCGATTGAAGCTTTTCCCGCACTCGGCGCAGGCGTAGGGCGTCTCCCCGGTGTGGATGGTCTGATGTCGAATGAAGGTTGAGCTCTGGCTGAAGCGTTTCCCGCACTCGGCGCAGGTGTAGGGCGTCTCGCCGGTGTGGATCCTCCAATGCGTGATGAGGTTTGAGCTCTGCCGGAAGCTTTTCCCGCACTCGGCGCAGGTGTAGGGCGTCTCGCCGGTGTGGATTCTCTGGTGCGTGATCAGGTTTGAGCTCCGCCGGAAGCTTTTCCCGCACTCGGCGCAGGTGTAGGGCGTCTCGCCGGTGTGGATTCTCCGGTGGGTGACCAGGGATGAGCTCTGGCTAAAGCGTTTCCCGCACTCGGCGCATGCGAACGGGGTCTCTCCTGTGTGGATTCTCTGGTGTCTAATAAGGGAGGAGCTCTGGCTGAAGCTTTTCCCACACTCAGAGCATGTGTAGGGTCTCTCGCCCGTGAGGATGCTCACACGGTGTGAGCAGCTCCTGACGGTTTCCTCCGCCCTGCGCTGACTCTCACAGGCTTTGGCCAACCACAGCAAACGTCCTCCTGGATCACCATCATCCTGCTGGGGCTTCTCCTCCCCGTTCTCACTCGCCATCCCGGCGTCACCTGCTGGGACAGAGAAAGAATCCAGACACAGGTCATCCCCTGTGCCGGGGAGACAGAAAACCTCCGAGAGAGGGATGGGAAAAGGGGGAAAGGAACCAAAATAAGTGACGGAGGGAATCAAAGAAATCAGGAGCTGAAATCTCCCCCCCCCCAAAAAAACCCTTCCCCAAAGTAAATAAATGGGGGGGGATCAACTCTGAATCCACAACCCACCCCAGCATTCAGAGGAAGGGACATATTGGTTCCTTCACCAAGGAGGGTAACTGACAGCAAAAGGTTTTTTCCCCGGAAAGATGGATCACAGCCTGTTTGGCTCCAAAATGGGTGAGCTACAAATGGGTGTGCTACACTTTATCAGACATGAGGGTCCCTTGTTCATGAAGTCTTACGCTTTAGAAGGCAGGTTATGATTTTATTTTTATATGAAGCCATTTCGGTCCAGTACTTCTCCTTCCTGCAACTGAACCTCTACGCTCAATTCAATCCAGCTCCCCTCGCTTTTGCTACTAACTCATCGAAGTACTGTGGGTAGAGAGGAGCTGTGATCTGAGGTGAAATGGGTAAGCTGGAGCGAACTGTTTCTTTGCAAGACACAGATTGGTGAAGACGGTCAGTGTCCAGGGGACTAAGGGCTGGACACTCAGAAGTTCTCGCAACGAACTTTTTGCTGGCCAACTCTTGCTGGTGGCCGCTCAGACACATTTTCCTAAAATACTTAATTAACTTTAGGGAAAAAAACAAATAAATATACACATGTACAGGTCCAAATCATAGTAATTTATTTATGTAGGATCTTTATTGTTTTTTTAGACACCAGAGCTGAAGCCTGGTGGGAGAGGGGGCTGAAGCTCACTCGTGGAGTCCCATGTGGCTGAAGACGGGGGGGGGCACAATCTCAACAGGGCTGCCCAGAGGATTCAGGGGGCCTGGGGCAAAGCAATTTTGGGGGCCCCTTCCATTAAAAAAAGTTGCAATACCATAGAATACTATATTCTCGTGGGGGCCCCTGTGGGGCCCGGGGCCTGGGGCAAATTGCCCCACTTGCCCCCCCCCCTCTGGGCGGCCCTGAATCTCAAGGGGAGGACACGTGAGCGCCCCACGTGTCTCCTCTGCACAGCAACTCCCCGGCCCTGAGTCCAGCTGACGCACAATCCCCGCCCCACATTATCTGCGAGGGGGGCTCCATCCTTCTCCCCCTGCACACACACACCCCCGGCACATTCGGACGCTCTCCCTAGCAGCCGGGCCCAGGCAGGGAGTGGACAGAGTCGCTTCTCATGCCGGCTGAAGCTGGCTGCTCCGGATCGCTGCCCTAGAGCCTGGCTGGGGAGGCGGCGGTGGGCTGCTCCCCTCCCAGGCCCGGCTACCGGGCACAGGGGCCGAGCATGCCAGGGGGGAAAGGGTGTGAGGGGGGTTCCAGCTTTCTCGGCCCCTATCACCAGCAGTCAGGCCCCCACCTCCTCCCCAGCCAGGGTCCCTCCTTTCTCCCGCTGTGACAAAGTGGGAATATTCTGTAATCTAGTTAGGAAACCCAAAGTGTGCCTCAGTTTCCCTCATACACTGCATGGTTACTTAGTGGGTGGAAAGGGACTGTTTGGGCTAAGACACAGGGGTGAACAGTGCTTAGCTGTCTGGGGGCCTTAGGTCTCGTGTCAATCAAACTCTTGGGAATGCAGCGGCATTGTGGACACTTAGCAACCGACTTCCCTGCTGCTCAGAGGGGGGGGCAGAGCTGCATGTGCCCCCGCACGGGAGCCAAGGACTTGCGGGGGTATGAGATGAGGAGTCGGGGGGCTGCTCAGAGGGAAATCTGACCGAGGAGCTCCGAGGGAGTGACAGAGGGAGATAGCTGTGGACTCTGGTTCACTAGAATGGAATTTGCTGCAGCCTTTATTTCTCTGTGCTAATCCCGGTCGGCCTATGCTGTGCTCCGGTCAGCTAATAGACCAGAGGTGGGCAAACTACGGCCCGCGGGCCACATCCGGCCCACAGGACCCTTCTACCCATCCCCTGCGCTCCTGGCCCCTCCCCTGCTGTTCCCCCTCCCCTGCAGCCTCAGCTCGCCCCGTCGCCGGCTGTGAGCTCTTGCTGGACAGCGCAGCTGCCGAGCCGGCCTGACCCGGTGCTCTGTGCAGCCTGGCGCGTGGCTGCCTGACCCGGTGCTCTGTGCAGCCTGGCGCGTGGCTGGCTCCAGCCTGGCGGCGTGGCTGCCTGTCCTGGTGCTCCGGGCGGCGCGGCTGTAGTGCTGCCAGCCACCGGTGCTCCAGGCAGCGCGGTAAGGGGGCAGGGGAGTTCGGGGTGGTGGTCAGGGGGTGGGGGGCGTGGATAGGGGTCGGGGCAATCACAGTAAGGTGACCAGATGTCCCGATAAAATTGGGCCTGCCCCGATTTTGAGGCGTTTGTCCCGCGTCCCGTCCGAAGTATGATTGGGATGCCATTTGTCCCGCTATTTTGTTTCGGGCGTTTTTTTTTTGGTTTGTTTTTTTACACTCACCCGTCCGGGTCTTCGGCGGCATTTTGGCGGCAGATGCTTCTGTCTTTGGCGGCAAGTTTTATTACCCGCCCCCGAAATGCCGCTGAAGACCATCAGCGACTGAAGGACCCTCCGCCGAATTGCCGCCGAAGACCCGGACGGGTGACAGTAACAATTAAAAAGGCGCCCCCCTTGTGGCGGTCCCGATATTTTCCACTTAGCATCTAGTCACCCTAGGTCAGAGGGCGGGGAGCAGGGGGTCAGGGGTCCCAGGGGGGGCAGTCAGGAGGAAGGGGGGAGGTTGGATGGGGTGGCGGGGGGCAGTGAGGGGCAGGGGTTCCAGAGGCGGTCAGGGAGAAGGAGTGGTTGGATGGGGCAGAGGTTCTGGGGGTGGTCAGGGGACAGGGAGAAGGGGTGGTTGGATGGGGCAGGGGTCCCGGGGAGGCTGTCAGGAATGAGAGGAGGGGTTAGATGGGGTGGTGGGGGGCAGTCAGGGGAGGGGGAGTCCAGGGGCGGTCAGGGAACAGGGAGCGGGGGGGGGGATGGGGCCGGAGTCCCGGGGGGGCTGTCAGGGGGCGAGAGGCAGGGGGGGGTCGAATAGGGGGCGTTGTCCGGGCCACGCCTGGCTGTTTGGGGAGGCACCGCCTCCCCTAACCGGCCCTCCAGACAATTTTGGAAACCCAATTTGTCCCTCAGGCCAAAAAGTTTGCCCACCCCTGAAATAGACCCTCCTGTTTGACAGCACGGGCTGAGTGCCGCTGACGGTGCCTGCGGAGGCGCATTGGTCCCTAAGACTGTACAAGTCTGCCTCGGGGTCTGTCTCGGTGGGACTCCTTGAACAGCTCTCGCGGGGCGGGGCAGAGCAGGGGTGCTGACGGATCAGAGGCCCAGCCTAACGAGGTGGTGAAGCCGCGTGGCTGACCCTGGTGGAAGAGTGGGACCCACTAGGGGATCTGGCCCACTGGAAGGGATCCTCCCAGAGACTGCTCCAAATCTGTGGCCACGGCACCGGTGCTGGGGATCCGTGACACCCACCCTGCCCACTTCCCGGGAGCGGGGGGGCCTTCCTCCCCGCTCTCTGCTCTCCTGCTCTCCCTTCACGCCTGGCACCACAGATACTCTCCCGTCAAGAGAGGGTCTCATCTGACTGTCCCACGGTCTGCGCATAACATAGTTAGGGTTGCCCACTTTGTACTATTTAAAAATAGGACTCTCCAGCAGGAGTGCCAGAACCTTCCCCGATGCCCCACCTCTTCCCCCAGAAGCCCCGCCCCATCCCCTTGCCCCGCCCCTTGCCCCAAAGCCCCACCCCCATTCACTCCTCTTCCCCCCTCGCCCCGTCGCTTGCTGCTTTCCCCCTCCCTCCACCCTGCCCGGGTTGGGAGGGACTCGCCTGCGGAGCCAGGGTTGGGAACTGCAGCCGCCCGACGCAGGTTGGAGGCGGCCCCCGGCTGAGTAGAGGCTGGCCTGGGTGATGACCTGGTGCTTCCCCATCTCCCAGCCTGCAGTAACCAGACTTTTGGTCTCTGGTCAGTAGATTTGACCGAACACTGTCAAGTATCCTTTTCTACCGGACTTTCCAGTCGAAAACTGGGCTCATGGCCACCCTAAGTAGTACACCGATTTCCTAGACCAGTGCTTCTCAAACTGGGGGGGGTCAGGATCCCTCGGGGGGTCACGGAGTTATTACATGGGGGGTCGCGAGCTGTCAGCCTCCACCCCAAACCCCGCTTTGCCTCCAGCATTTATAATGGTGTTAAATATATTAAAAGATGTTTTGAATTGATAAGGGGGGGGTTGCACTCAGAGGCTTGCTATGTGACAGGAGTCACCGGTGCAAAACTTTGAGAACCACTGGCTTTATTTAGAATTGTACTAGCTGCAAATGTTCCTCTTAGAATGAGGACAAGGCCCAAAAGCTCAATTTATTAACTTCGTTTTTACATCCCCCCAAGAAAGAGAGATTCAATTTAAAAATCGTATCTTTCAAAATGGCCAACACCACCAAAAACACACAGGTCCAAACATGATACCAGGGACATAAAGCAAAAAGGGGAAACCTGGAAAATTACATAATCAAGTTATCACTACTTCGGATGTCACTATCCTTACCCCGCTCACTACCTCCTGCCCCCTGACAACCTCACTATCCACTGGGGAGCCGGGCCAAGAAGGTTTTTGAGGGATTCCCGTGCCTAATCCGCTCAGAGCAGCCAGGAGGCAACAGGGTGACGGGAGAGAGAGCCCACCCCTCATCCCCAGGGTGCACGGTTTTCATATTTATCACACATCTACTAGCCGGAGGCTGATACAGGAGATAAAAAACCCCAGAAGAGTCCAAGGACAGTCGGAATCCCAACACCCACTCCATTAAAAAAAAATATATATATATACAGGAGAACCCCAGAGTTACGAACTGACCGGTCAACCACACACCTCGTTTGGAACCGGAAGTACGCAATCAGGCAGAAGCAGAGACACAATATATATATATATATATATATATGCAAATACAGTACAGTGCTAT